GTTGACGCGGCGTTGACAAGTACATCACGTTTAGGACAACCCAATTGTTCTAAATCAATTATCTCGGTGGAAATGTATTTCGACAACAACCGTTTTTTCTGTCGTCCTTTGACAAACACCAAATCGTATCCGGCACAACACGATGTTAGTATAGATTGTAAGTCACTGTACGGTATGTACCCGTCAGAATAACGCAAACCGTGGAACTTAGTTTTCAACCAACGGTTAACGCGATGACTTTTCGGAGTAAGCATGAAATTATCGGGCGGCAAGAAAATCCAATGTTTTACATCCGAAAATCCGCGTACCGGCAATGCACTTAACTCTTTTATGATCAATTCGCAAGACTGATCCAAACAGCACTGAGCGTCGAGAACGATTGCTGACATTGTTACGACTGACTTGCAAAAGTTAAACAACGTCTTTCTCATTTATCCATGCGTTATGACTGTCGGTCAAACCGAGAAACTTAACGAAACTCCTGTCACCGTTTCGACGCAGTATTTTTTCAACTAAATACGTGCCCGGGTAGTGCGTGCGTTGTAATTCTTTAGCATAATAACTGCCTCTTATAGGCGTACCGTTTCTATCTTTTAATTTATACGTTACGGGCAATGTATTAGCTACATGCTCTACAGTAAAAAGTTCTGATGACCAAGAAGCTTTATAAGATTTCCGGAAAGTCATCGCGTGCAAAGAAATTCGTACAACGTCGCCTACGGCGAATAATGCCGGTTTAGATTTTGGCTTAACTTGTCGAAAAAATTTGACTCTATGCGACGGCGAGCTTTGAGCTTCAGAGGGGGTCATGCGGATAGCCGAATGTTTGCGAGTATTATACAGCAAGACGATATCTTGTAGTATCGGTAGCCACACGGATGACCCGGCAGCGGTAAAATGTTGCCATAACATTCGTTTAATAGTCCGAATGAACCGTTCTACCGGCGACGCTTTGACGGGCGTGAAAGTCGAATACTGTTTGATATTATATTTTTTATACACTGCTCGGATATGTTTAGAATAAAATTCAGTGCCTCTATCACTAAAGAAAAGCTTACACGCTTCACCGTTTCGCTTTATAATCGCCTCAAGTGCGGCCGCCACAACCGGCCCGCTTTTGTTTTTAAGTGGTTCGCAAAACGCGAATTTAGTATACACGTCTACAATCGCTAAAATAAACGTGTAGTTTTTATTACCTCGTTTCTTGGACAGTGACCTCATATCAATGAGATCAGCACACCATAATTCGGATTTAAAATATGCAAAAATCGGGCGTCTTGTAAACACCCTGCGGGCTGGCTTATGTAATTCTGCTGCAATGCCAGCCCTGATCGAACCGGATGACATTGCTTTAATAAATAACACGGGCTTCACGTAATTCTTCGACACACGATAGTATTTCGGGGTAAACACTAGTGTTACCTGCGTTGAGAGAGCCGTGCAACAATGCTAATCGCTCAACGACTTCATTGATATCGTCATAATATACAAATTCTTTCAAACGATTTGAAACCGGTTTGAACGTAAGACCCCGGCCGACGACCGGGTCTTCAACAAGGTCCAGCTGGTTATCGGTAGGGTGCTCACTGTTTTCAACGTCTAGCGGGTCACTGACTCCCTTTTCTGAGCGTCCGAGCGGACTGAGAGGGTCACTGACTTGCTTTTTTCCCGCGCGTTTGTCCGGGCTGACCGGTTCCTTTAAGAACGTATCTAGATTTTGTCCGCTTTTGGAAAATAACGGGCGAATAATATGTTTGTACTTGAACCCCGCGTTAGATTTCAATTTACCGTTGGCTTTCACGTGAGCCCGCGTATGTATTAAAAAGTTTCTATATTCTGATAAATCCTGAGTTGTTACAACGTCCATACGGGGGGTTGAACTAAAGACCAATTCTTGTAGACCTTTAGTAAATTTAGTAACGGGTAAACTGCCGACTTTAATATCATGTCCGTCGAGTTGAACTGTCTTATCACCCATCACCCAAGATCCGTCTTTCTGATATTTTACGCCGTAAGACGGGCTGGATTCAGTGTAAAATTGGACGTCTGTCTCACTCACGATCGACTCGGAGTCGGTCAATGCACTCTGGTCTACTTGATCGTCGGGATGAGGTGGAGGGGGAGACGGTGTAGATACGACGTCGGTCGGTTTATTTAATTGAGACGCGATGTCTTCCAGTGGCCTTACTAACGCAGCTGCGTGTGTCCGTAAAAACTGGTTTGATTCGGACAAACCACGCCGCAAGGCGGCTAATTTCGTCTTGATATTTTTTTTAGCTTCAATAATTTCCCGTGTAAGCGTCACCGGGTGTTTGGCTGTTGCCCCACCGCCCACCATTGTGTGCGAGTGTGTGTGCTATTACCTGATGTTCACGGCAACTGAACGGTTACAACGGCCACACAATTATAACGATGTTTTCGATGCACCAGACCTTTTTATAAAAACGTCCATACCTTGCCTATACCGGCCCGCGTCTATAGGAAAGTCTTTGGCTATTGTTAAAAACCCGTACGGCCCAGAATTCCAGCACAAACCGCACATTTCTTTGAACTCGGCAAACGTAAAATTATCACCACAACAATGGTCGTCGAAAATATGTTTAATGTTCGTTTCGTCTTGTTTGTATACAATTATTAAGTTAGCGTTATCTCGGATAAGCTGCTTAGGGACCTTAGTATATGTTTGGGTCAAATAGAACGAGTCTAGATTGTTGTGTCGACCTCGGGTGAAAAAATGACTAATATTTTTTTGTTTTTCGCCGACTACGTCGTCAAAGATGCAAACGCTAAAGTGTTTAAGTTCCTCGGGTGGCATTACGGCATCGTTTTCGGTGAAAATTGTCATGTCGACACCGCTTACGTCATTGATAATCGATTGTAAAAGTTGATACTTGGGTTGATTCGGGGTTTTCGTGTAAAGGTAAACATGTTGAAACTTTAAACCGTTAGGTGCCGTTAACAAGTTAAATAGTAAATTTGTTTTACCGCAGCCGCTAGCCCCGCACAAAATCGCTCTAGCGTTGTTCGCCAATAAAGCACCGTGTCGAGAGCGTAGCGCTGCTGGTGTAGGAAGTTCTATATTGCGTATAGGGAATCCGTCTTTCTGTTTGTTCAAAACAAACATCGTGGAGAGGGTGACTATAAATTGGCCGCGAAGCGTTGAAATCCGTTTAAACGTCGATATATCACCAAAGGTCACAGTTTAATAAACCTGCAGTGGATTGCTCAACTCATTTATAAATAATTTTCCGTGCAAAGTGTGCTGCTGCTGCTTGAAGATTGTACCAGTTTGTACCGCGGCAAAATGAAACGCAAAAGACGTTTGGGTATGGGCGTAAGCTTTAAGTCTTTAGTGTCAGCGGGTCGCCGTGCGATGCGCAAGGTATCCAGCAAAGACATAAATGTGCTAGTCGACGCCGGGCTTGCCGCAGCACAGAAAGCGCGCTCAAGAAGTAACCGAAAACCCAAAATCCCCCGCACAATTCGCGTGCCCAAACTGGGCGGTTTTCTACAGATCTTGCCGTTAATTACCGGATTAAGCGCGGCCGGTAGTTTAGCCGGAGGCTTAACCGGGATTTTAAAAGCGTATCGCGAAATCCAGCGCAGCAAGGACCAGGCCAGAGTCCCGGTAAAAGTCGGTGGAAATATTTATTTGCACGCGGGCAAAAAAGGCGGTGGATTGTATTTGAGACCGTATCGCGTGTCAAAAAACTAATTAAAGCGCTCTTGCCGAAAAAAAGGGCATTGAGCGATATCGATATTATAAAATACGCGTCAATTTTAGGATTACGTCACTTTCGCGGTGTGTTCAGTAGGGATACGTTGCCCGCATCTGGCCCACATCGATTCGAGTGTGCTGTGGTTAATCAAGCTTTGGAAATCGACCGGGGTACGCATTGGACTGCTTATTATAAATGCGACAAAGTTACTCATTATTTCGATCCATACGGCGATCTTACTCCTCCGCCCGAAGTGGAACGATATTTTCGAAATTGCTTGGTACTCTATAATTACGACCGCGTTCAAGAATACTCTACTTTCGTGTGCGGACAGCTGTGTTTAGAATTTTTATACGACCAACAAAATAATCGACGACAATGAACCACCGGTCATTCACACTGTCGTTTCAAGGAAAAAAGAGCGAAATGACTTGTACAATTTTCCCGCCTATAGAACTGCACGGACAAGCTGAAATAGCTCTGTTGAGTTTACAGGCTTACAGTTCGTACCCGAATATCCATGATGGAAATAATGTTTTACGCGTAATTATACCCGACGGAATAGCAAAACATTCCTATAAAAATGATTATATAGATATTACAGTCCCCGTCGGGTCATACGAGATACGCGACATTGAATCGTTTTTGCAAAATCAATTTAAAGAGCAATTACCGCCGGGCGACGGTATTTGGGTTACAGCTAACGCGTCCAGTTTGAAAACCGAAGTGTCGAGTTCACGTGATATCGACTTTGACGTGCCAAACTCCATAGCACCGTTTCTCGGGTTTGAAAAAAAACGGCTAAAATCCGAGCGCGTACACGTTTCAGATCACTTGGCCGCGGTGAATTCATTGTTGTGTATTCGTGTCGGCTGTAGTATCGCCACGGGGGCTTTTGTAAATGGCACGAATACACATGAGATATATGAATTTTATCCTTCGCAGCCACCCGGGTATAAAATAACCGAATCCAGTTTGCACTTGATTTATTACCCCGTTTTAGTGCGGCAAATCGATTGTGTAACGCTCACTTTGACCGATCAAAACGGTCGATTAATTGATTTTCGCGGTGAACCAATTTCGGTGAGACTACACGTTAGAACCGTATTATAATGGCTCTAGTGTTTTGTAAAAAGAATCGTAAACGTGCACCGGCCCAACAAAAAGTCTATTTTTCACCCGTTAAAAAGCGTCACGCTTTTAGCAAACCGAACAGTCGACCTTCAACTCGACCAGCGTTAACAGCAGACAGTGTTAAGACGTTAGCGCAATTAGGCTACAATGTCCGCAGCACTGCGAGACTCACTGGACGTAAATCAAAAGCCCGCGTTTGACGAGAGCATTACGAAACGTCAGTATCACAGTTATCAGCCTTATTCTAACGTAGCTTTGGGCAATAACGACGAAATTCGAATCGCAATTAATCAACAGGATTTATACACTTTCCCGGCCGAATCATATTTATACATGCAAGGGACTATCAATAAACCGGCCACCGTAACGGAAGAAGTACTTTTTGTCAACAACGGCGCTATGTTTCTTTTTGACGAAATCCGCTACGAATTAAACTCTATTGAAATAGATAAAATTAGAAACCCGGGCACCACGACTACGATTAAAGGATATATTTCAATCCCGCACGGTTCAGTGCACCGTTATCAAAACGCCGGTTGGGATAGCGATGGCAATAAAACCGGTACCTTTGAACTTTGCATACCCTTGAGTCATATTTTCGGGTTCGCCGAAGACCATAGAAAATTGATTATTAACGCCCGGCAAGACCTAATTTTGCATCGAGCCGCGTCGGATGTAAACGCGCTGAAAACGGCAAAGGACGGGTGTACTGTTACACTGAATAAACTACTGTGGAGAGTGCCACACGTGCACGTTAGCGATGCCGTGCGGCTGAAGCTATTGAAAACCTTGGACTCCCGCCGATCGCTTTCGATCGGCTTCCGCAGTTGGGAATGTTTTGAATATCCGCATCTGCCGAGGACGACTAAAGTTTCTTGGGCCGTTAAAACCTCATCGCATACCGAAAAACCTCGGTACGTCGTGATAGCTTTTCAGACTAAACGGAAAAATAATATCACTGCGGATATGAGCAAGTTTGACCATTGTTCGATAACCTCACTGAAAGTTTTTCTAAACAGCGACACGTATCCGTATGACCCCCTATCTATCGACTTTTCTACTGATAAATACTCAGTTTTATACGACATGTACGCTGCTTTTCAAGAATCATATTACTCGGGTGACAGATCTGAAAATTCGCCTTTGCTGTCAAAGGCATTGTTCAAGTCAGAAGCACCCATTTTCCTATTTGACGTTAAATTAGCACAAGAGGCAGTGAAAACTACGACGTCAGATTTACGTTTGGAGATTGAATCGAGTATAAATATACCGGAATCAACATCAGCTTTTTGCCTCGTGTTACACGACAAAATGTTTGAGTATAATCCGTTAAGCGGCCAAGTTAATAAACTCCTATAGATTTAACACCAATTGTACATACGTTTACCGTATACAGAGACCAGATATTAAATTTAAGTCAGCACCTTTTTTTTTTTTTTTGGTTTAGCAAAATATATCAACATAAGGTATGTGTAATAAAATTATCCAACACAATTGTTCGATGAATGGTTTTTTTTTTTATTAATAATAAATATATACATTTTTTTTTACAAATGGCATTTTTTTTTAAAAATTTAATTTTCGCCTAGCCGACGGGTTTTTTCTATTTATTAGCCTGGGCTGAGCTGCTGTTTGTTGCGCCTCGTCCGATGAAACAGCTTGTTCAATTTGCTGCTCCAGCTGCGCAACTTCATCATCCAGGCCCCTGGCTTGGCTGGGGTCAAAATCTGGACTCGGAGGGCTGGGCGATATATTACCAGTAGCAGCAGCACCAGTAGCGTCAGCAGCAGCAGCATCAGCAGTAGTACCGGCAAACGGGTCTTCTTGATCTGTATTTAAAATATATATTTAGATTCTCAGAACGTATAATTATATGTTTTTTTTTGTTTACCAAATATCGCATCGATGGTTGCCTGCTCATCATTTGGTTGGATTGCTGATATGCCGGGAACATAATCCCATTCTTCGGCTGTAGTGCAAAAAAATTAATTATACCCTATTTCAGTACTCTTTATCGGTTTATAACTCACCAAATACTTTTTCTAGAACGCCCTGATCTTCCAAGTAAATAGGCTGCCTCTCGACCACATCATCATCATCCGAGTCATCGCAGAGGTCAATTATTCCCGAAGAAATATCCGACCCCACGCCTGACTCGGCAAACATGTCTGGTGAGTTTGTTGAAAAAGATAGCTCTATTGGCCGAGCATACTCTTCGTCATCGGTCTAAACATCAACCATAAAGTTCATCAAGCTGTTTATATTAAAATACGTTTGTACTTACGCTATAGTCGTCGAAGTAATTTCGGCGCCTCCTGTATCTGTGTGGCGTGTCGCTTTCGTCAGACATTGTTGAAACAAACTGTACGTCATTCGACCGTTTTCGCCAGTTATATAGCGCATTTTTTAGCCATCTGCTCGTGACAAAAAAATTAACCAAACAAAAGTGAAATTTTTACTATGCTATAACAATTTTTTTTTTAACGGACAAATGCAAAATTTCATTGCGTTATCGGTGCCCCCGAATAATTATCAGGTTCACCGTCTTGAGACACGAGCCGGCTGATGTAATATTTCACCTGGTCGCAATTTTGTTCAGACCACTTTTTAATTAGGTTTAAATTAATTGTAACCCGCAACGGACATTGTTCACAGGCGTCGTGAATTTCATAGCAGTCGTAACATCTGCCGTCGTTGTCGGCCGCACCGTGTCCAGGAGGCCCGAATCGTTTGCCACACTTTGTATTGTATTCCGGGCGGGTTTGTAAAAACCCGATTAGCGGGCAACCTATTTGATCAATACAGTAAACTTTAAATTCGTCCGGCAGTAATCGCCTGAGGAAATCGCGTTTTCGACAGTCCGTCGTGAATACGGTTACTTTACAAACTCCTATTGCAGGTGTCAAATTCCACCTGATTGACCGTTTTGCGTGCTCCAGACTACCGTATTTAAACGTCGTTGCGAAAGTCAGGTTTTCAAACAACGCTATTATTTGAAGGTTACAAAAATTTGGAGTGGTATTCCCGCAAAAAAAATCAACAACACTGTACTCTGTGAATATCATAATATTATTCAACACCGCCGCCGCCGCCGTTATTATCGCCTCGAACGTTTTCCCACTACTAACACGACTTTGCACTCACTTTTAACCATCTGCCTGTCAGGTGTACTCGCACGGCACGACGTACAGTAGCACCCACGAGTGTTTAGCATACCGGTAGCACCAGGTGGTTTTTGCCACCGGCCGGAATGCGAAAATTATTCAAACTGCTTTGCCGGTAATCGTAGCTCTCCTGACCGGTTGATTTATTCACTGTTAAGCCAAAAATTCCGAGGATCAACTTTTTTTTTTTTTTTACCCTCCAAAAACACTTGGGTGTGTTGTTCTGTATTTGCTAATAAGGACTAATTTCAAAATTGGTGGGAGAGAATTTTTCTCTGAAATCATCGGGGGCCCCGATTCAGAGATCAGTTTTTAGTTTCAGTATAGTATCAGCAATAATGGACGCCTCACAGAAGCGACGTGCTATCCAGTGCTTGGCCGACGGTAAGTTGCAATTTTTTTTTTTCAATGTTTTCAATTTTAATTTCGATTAAAATTTTTTTCAATTTTTTTCCCTTTAGGTTACAAAGGCCTTTATGCTGGTATTCGAATTGAATTAGAAATGATGGGAACAAACTTTCTTATAGTCGGGCAGTCGCCGCCGGGGGGTAAGTCATTTTTTTTTTTATCTATTTTCTTATAATTAATATTTTTCTTCTACGCTATACAGAGGAGTTACCGGCGTTGGTTACCGCAGACTGGGGTACCGTAGACTCCACCCAGCCTGCTCAAGACGGCCCGACTAGTGATCAGCCGCCGCCGTCGCCATCGGCTTAACGCCCCCACACACCGATGTCCATTTTTTTCAAATAACCGTATTATTATTATTATTATTATTATTATTATTATTATTATATTATATTCTGTAAGTAATGCTTTAATCATTTTTTTTATTTTCTTAATTGCTCTAATCATTTTTTTATATTTTCTTATGGGTTGTGTGTGTGTGTGTGTGTGTGTGTGTGTGTGTGTGTGTGTGTGTGTGTGTGTGTGTGTGTGTGTGTGTGTGTGTATACAAGTGTGTACGCATTTGAGTATGTTTTATAATGATATCAAACGGATAAAGGTAACCATCACTTTTTTTTTTGTAAAAGGTATATATACTACATTTTACGGGTTGCGCGTATACAAGTGTACGCATTTGAGTATGTTTTATAATGATATCAAACGGATAAAGGTAACCAACACTTTTTTTTTGTACAAGGTATATACTACATTTTACGGGTTGCGTGTACGCATATTTCATACTGCTATTGTATCAATCATACGGATAAAGGTAACCAACACTTTTTTTGTAAAAGGTATATATACTTCATTTATTGTAATTCAGGTAAACAATTTTTTTTTACAAACTATTGCAAATGGTTTTAGATAATTAACAGGCGAGTCATATTTTTTTTTTAAAGTAAACAATTGCAAATGGGTTTAGATAATAATTAACAGGCTAGTCGTATAACAGATATTCTAAAAAATATTTTATCAATCGAATAAAAAAACAAACACACCAATACACATCCGTCCAATGGTCTGGCATATTGTTTTGAATTTTTTTTTCAAATAACGTGTTCCATTTCTACATCGCCCACTGTGTTGGCCGCCGCGGCCAGTTGAGTTGTTGCAGCTGCCCTGTAAACACGTTATTATTTTAGTTTATTATATATTTCCAACATTCTTAATTTTACATACTTATCAATTTGTTCAATAAGTTTGCTCACATCAGTCAAATGATCCCGTATTTCCTTTTTCTCTTTGTTTCCCTCTTTGCTTTGGTCGGCTGCGTCGCCGTCGTCGTCACCGTCGTCGTCGTCGTCACCACTTTTCCACGGCCTGTAATACAATTAATTATTTAAAATACTTTCATCGAAACATCAGCAGCAGCAGTAGCAGCAGCAGCCGAAAGAGAGAGACATTACCCGGCATAATCCTCATCGACTACGTCGTCAAACAGTCGTTGAAAGTCCCAGCTATGGATTGGCGCGTTCATTGCTTTTGCTTCTAAGCTTTGCGGTGTCGATTCTTCCGCGGATAAAGACCGTAAGTACTCGTCCCATATAAATGCCACTATTCGCTGGTGATCGTAAATCAACAGCTCCTTGTACAACGGATGTTTCTTTCTCGGCATTAGGTTAATCGGCCAATTTATTATTATATTGTATACACCCTGTATGGGCGCGGTTAGATATCTTATAATAACCTCGGTTTTTATAACTTTTATTAACGCTTTACATTGGTCAGTTAACATTTCACTAATTACCGATTTTTCCGTCACTGCCCGACGCATTATTTCACGTTGCCGTTTAATCGACGTCAAATTATCCTTAGTCAATGATATTCGATTACCAGCGTATTCGATCACCATATACGAGTTTGAAAAGCAACGCGTTTTTTTAATAGCCAGCCCCGGTATGGGGATTACCGCTCTCTTACCGTCGTTGCCAGTATCGTCAGTCATAATTTTAATAAGATTGTCCAAAGCGCCCAACAATCCGATAAACTTATCGTGCTCCATACACAAACACGCTGTAGCACATACTATAAGTATTGCTTGTTTGTACGCACTGTTCTTTTGTGACCATTCGCATCCGATGTGAATAAATTTTCTCTCGTTCAGGTTAACCGTAAACACCGCAGCCGATATCAACTGAGTATCAACCGTGTTGATATGCCTTCTCGGCAAAATTCGTATTTCTTTTTTCCCGTAGCCACTCATAGTACACACACGCACGCGATATCACTTCGCAACTAGATAACCGTTCCACAAGAACTCTTCACGACGTACTACTGGTGGACCCATTTAAAAGACCCCTTTTATGTATCTATACGTTGCATCCAACAGCCAATGATATTACAGTCTGTGTCCCGCGCAAATGCATTTCTCTATTTTGTTGTCAGCTGCTGCTGCTGCTGATATTTATCATTATTCATCTACACTAAAATGGCGCGCTTTTTTTATTCGCTATCATACCTCCGAGGATACCTTCACAGTACAATTCTTATCACTAATAACAATCTGTTATACCACATCATTTTTTCCCCGCCAAATTTTTTCTTATCACTGATAACAATCCGTTATACCACTTGGATACCAACATTTTTTACCGCCAATTTTTTTCTTATCACTGATAACAATCCGTTATACCACATGGATACCCACATTTTTACCGCCAAATTTTTTCTTATCACTGATAACAAAATTGATAACAATTTTTTTTGATAAAGGAGGATCATCCTCGAGGATCACTGATAAGAGAGGATGATCCTCACCCAACTATATACTACTAATACATTTTTATAAAATAAAATAAATGAGTGCAATATGCAAAAAGTAATTATTTATTTATATACAATTTATAAAAAAAATAAACGTTTGATTACTAGTATAATTATTTTTTAGCTGTTAACTCAAGTTGAGTACTGATATCCTCGCGTAGTTGTGCATTTAGTTCCTTTTTTTTAGTATCGGCATTTACTTGCCAATATTCGCCTTTAAATGATCTGTATTTGACAAAATATTCTATTTCACCCACATTTAATACTACTGCACATACATCATCATATGTGACATAATACGTGTTTGAAGACATTTTTAGACTAACCCACATTGCTATCAAAGCACAAATCCTTTCAACAGGTTTCTCCTTGTCAACTTCGTCAACCAAGATGATTTCAGCTAAAATATCAGAAAACCAGTGTTAAAAATAACCAAATTTAACTTACTAGCCACTACATTCCTGTGCTAAGTAATTGTGCAAGACACAATTACTAAACGTAAATAAAGAAGTTATACAATTATGTATATTATGTATAATAGTAAAAATCTCAGCATTCTGAAAAATATTATAATTTTTTTTTTTTATATAAACAAGTCCTTAAAAATGAGTTTATATTTTATAAATATGGTTTTTTTTGTTGCCCAAAATTTAAGGATTTTCTTTAGAAACCTGAAAAAAATTACATTTTATGTGCATATTTCAAACCAGGGTCTCCACAAACACGCTTAAAACACCAAAAATCGTGGGAAAAATTCATGGAAAAGTAAAAAAAACGGGAAAAAGCGACCACAGTAATCAAAATAGTTGAAATAATTGTGAGTTAAAATAAGATAATTTCCCGTTCAAGATAATTTTGAGGGATCGATAACTATTTATTTTTAAATTAAAGAAAAATCACAAAATATAAAGTAGATAAAAAACTTTTGTTCTATTATCCATTATGAATGTGAAAAATAGATGTTATTAATTAAATAGCATGAAAACTCTATACTTATAATTACCTAGCTTTTGGGTAAGTACTTTTATTATAGCTTTTCCTGTAAGAAGTCTCCTCGCCTTTCCAAGTTCGGTCAATTTTAAAGTTTCAGTACCTGTATAAATGTATATATGAATAACTTGTTTGAAAATATGATATTAATTAATATATTCGTATTTATTTTGTTATTTTAAAATTGAATGCCATATTTAATACAGAGTGGTAGGAAAAAGAAAAGATATGGCAATTAAAATAACAGGAGCATTGATAGAGCCTAAAAAGATTGAACAAATAAAATAGAGATCAGATTAAAAAAAAAAGGAGCTTAAGCTCAAAATGTAATACTTATTCGCCCAGTTCTTATCTAGTCCTTTGTTTGGTATAGCTGACCAATGACTAATCCATTCTAGAACCCTTAAAAGAAGTCTCCCTTACTTAAAGTAAATTGTTGTTTGAAAAAATATATAAAGCAGTTTTTATCTTTCAAACAAGCCATAAGTTCCATTTACTACTAACTTGTAGCTTTGTAAATTCTTTTATGTTCATTATCATGCGCAGTACTACCTGTAACAAAAAAACAAATAAATTATATAGTTAATCTCATCTGTTTGGTATATTTATCCATAACAGTAACTCTAAAAATAAGATTTATTTGACCAATTAATGAATGCAAAATATAGTAGTAACATAATACCCACGTCTTTTAAAACCTTTTGTAGCTACCGCATTTAGTGAGCTTTAAAATGTAGAAAAGGCGTAAATAGGATGTTAAGATCTTAATTAGAAAAAACTCGTTTCAGTGGAATGCCACGAAGTAAATAACCATGTAAAAGAGAATTACAGCTTCAAGCTGTAATTCAGTTTATCAATTACAGCAACACGAACTAGTATAGCATATTATCTATCGAGTCACAAGTATTTGTTACATTGAAACGTCAACAAATAGTAAGAAAAAACAGTTTTAAACTAATTTATTATATTTATCCATAACAGTTACTCAAAAAATGAGATAACTCTGACCAAATCATAAATTAAGTGTTTTTTAAATTTTTTGTCATTATGGTGTAAACAAAATAATATATAAAGAAAATTTTATCGTTCAATCAAATCATAAGTTCTATTTACTACTAATGAATAACGTTGTAAATACTTTGGTTTTCATCTTTAGCCGCCGGAATACCTGTAAAAATAATTTTAAAAATAATTTAGTTATTATACTCGGTTTGTTTATTTACAAAATAATAAGTAAATGCAAAATGTTTTATTTACATAAAATTAATCTCTAGCAAGTAGCAACGTTCTTCACAATGAATTTAATAATATTCTATTTTTTTTTTGTAATTGCAATAAAGTTGTATAATTGTATTTTATTATTATTTTTAATTTAAATTAATTCTGTCTTCTACAAAATTTCTCGTGAACTGTTATTTCTTGATGAACCTAATTATATTCAGAACACTTTGAAATCTTTTAAAAATGTTGTTTGAAATACCTAGGATATGTAATAATCTAATATTTTTTTAGTTAGTTTCCATTTACGTTTTAAGATGCTATTGGCCTTAGAAAGTTGATTATTAAAAAACAGATAATTTTATATTCACCTATTATATTAAAAATTTGTTGTTGCAATCGATCTTTTTCTGTCATAATGAATTCTAAATTTGAAAATAAAATTAAGTTGCATGTATCCCTATATTTTCTTGTAATAGAAACTAATATTGTACATATAATTCTTTGTGAAGCATAATAAATATAAAAATTATAATAAATAGTAGTGCTAATCGATTACCTTGTAGTAAGTCAAAGTTGAGAGTTTTTGCATGTTCTGAAATTAAAACGAAAAATTTGTATACTTAATGATTATCAAATGACTGTGCAAAAATATGTTTAAAAAATTCGATGTAAAGTATTACCCGGTACAGTGAACATTTGGTTTAAATAATCTGAAATTAGCAATATAAAAATTGTTGGTTATATATATATATATATATATATATATATAAATTGTTGGTTATATAAATTGAATTGAATTTATGTTCTATCATAAGTTAGAGAAGAAAAGTAAAGAAAAAATATATGTGTATTAGTAATTCGGAACAAAAAACTTAGCTAAAATAAATTCAAAATCTAATAAAATTACTATGTATTAATTGAATCATATGGCGGAGTAGAATAAGATAAAATAAGTTTATTATCACTGAACATTATCCTTAACCCTTTCACTGTCCTGGACATGCTTTTATGCTACAATTAATTAAATAATAACGAAACCTTTTTCCAGTATGACGATGGTTGTGACATGTTGCAGTGTGTAAAACACAATAGCAGTGAAAAGGTTAAGATACATTTTTGTTGTTAATTGTACACATTTCTTTTATAACCAAGATTTTTTTTTTGTTATCACATAATTATTATTACTTATTGCCCAGTGATCTGCATTTATCATGACTGTAAGTACATGCACCAATCCATCTGGAACAAATAAAAAAAGGTTTGACTTATAGAAAAGTGCCAAATAAAATCAAAATAAATATAAAAATCATTAGAAAAAATTACACTATACATTAGGCAACTACCCTTATTGGGATAATTAGCCAATTCCTAGAGTCAGGTGAGCTCATAGCAAAAATGCATAGGCGGCCTCCTCTTAAATATAAAAATAAACTTATATTTTCTTTACAAATAATTTGACACTTAGGCAATCATTATAATACAATTATATATTAGCACATTGGTTATTATCTTACTTTCTATATGATCATCTTTATAGTTTGAAGCTTTCAAGATTTGTAAGTCTGTAATAAATGTTTTAAAAAAAAAGTATGTATAAAATGAGTAAAATTTAAAAACTCACAAAGTTAGTCTATATGATTATAAAATATAGCTTACTTGAAATTTCAACCAACTCTATATATTTCACTGTAAAGAATAGTTCAATATTAATTTTTTTAGAGTTTCATCTACCTTGTGTACTTAAGTATAAGACAAAATACTTACTTATACTTATATCTGCCAAAACATTTACGCAGATTAATGACATTAAAACATAGGACATTTTCATTTTTATCTAAAAGAATTAATAAATATAAATGCAATTTATATAAGGCTCGGGTCTTTCGGAATGGTCGAGATGAAAATGTTTTGGTTTTAAAATTGTTTAAATGTATTGTTTTTTTTTTTTTTTTAGTTATCTTTTTAGAATATGTTTTACGCTAAATTTCCCATTTGCAAAACTTGACTAAGCTATGTTTTCATAAACCATTTGTGTTAGTCCAACTAAATTTGAAACAATAGGCTCCACTTTTTTGACTCACGGTTAATATACTCGTAATATATTATAATATATTACAGGGTGATCAAATTGGTTGATGACACTATATTTTTTGGAAAATATAAAATGTTTGAAAATTATTTTTTCCTATAATTTAGGTGCTTGTATTTTTTATTATAGTTTTCAATAATTATAGAATTTTTTTGATTTGTCTCTTATACGTATAAGAAGATGGACTTCGTTTTTTCCATATGAGAACATAATATGGTTTTTATTCCATAGAAATGTAGTAAAAAAATTACATAAGGTGGATCACTGGGTATAATGTTTATTCAAAGTATGTGTGATATGGTTGAACACTTTTATCATAAACAAAGCAGCAAGAAACTACGAAAAACATTCTACTTCTAAGTAAAAACATATTTTCCAGCGCATCGTTGTTAGTTTATTTACAAAGCTGTTTTTTAGCATCGATACTGAGCTAGTACTCCTGTTATGTGTGTTTTTTTTTTTTAATCTACAAAAACGATTACATGTTTTACTATGGCCCGATTTACTTTAGGTATCCAAAATTATATATGATTTGGTAACTTTGGTGGGTCAAAAGGGGAAATAGTCAACTTCTTCACCCCCAGAACCATAAAAAACCTAAAAATAAATTGTCGGTCAATTTTTAACTTTCTATAACATAGCGAAAAATAATATAATCGAGTCAAAATTGTAATATAATGTTTATCTGACCATGCTCCTATTTACAAATATATTTACTATACTCCCCTGTAGGATTAAATTTCTTGAAAATGGTAAATAAAATATTCAATATCAATTTCGGTTTGAGAGCATATTTACCAGTGCCGTATTTCCCAGTAAACACTATAAGCTAGTGCTTAGGGCGGCAATTTCTCAAGGGCGGCAAATAATTTTTAATATTACAATATTTTACTATATATAACTAGAGCTGAAAGAAATGCAACTATTTATAAAATGTTCTTAGACTAACGGGATTGTAGTAATATTTATTGTTAGGGTGATTTTCAATTTCAAAATCGTAGTCTATCGCCCTATTATAGCATTGCTGCACTATTTATAAATTTTCCGTTGTCATGTTGTTTTTATACGACTTGACAACAGACAAGTGAATACGACGATCGTAAAATAAGTTAATGGTAATAAATTAGAAAAATATAACATGGGTTGACCGTTGACGATTGTGGGTTTATCTGTATCTAATCATGAAATCAGTTTTTATTTTTAAGTCTATACAATATGCCTATTTCTATAAGTGTGTATACTGGGAAATGGCACTGTGTCTATATCACAAAATATTATATTTAATAAAAACCCAATCATTAGTCGTTGCAATCGCGAACGAGCTCATGTGGCATGTTCTATAGTATTATAGTAACGTACGTGTTCGGTGTTAATTTTTTTAGTGCAGATGAAGTTCACACTCCTAATTTGTATGAATATTTGATTTTTTTTATTTTGATTTGTGACTTTTTCAATAAAACTAGTAAAATGAGTGACGGTTGATCACGTTTGAGTGGCTATAAGTATAAAAAAATCGCGGAAGAAAAAAAAATTAAACTAAATAACTTAGTGCGAAAAACCCCAAAAATAGATACTTTTTTTAAACCAAACACTATTTTAAATGAAGTTGACACTACACAAAAAACGCTCGCTAGTTGTTCAAACTCGGGTACCAGTACTACGGACATCACTTATATTCAAAACGTCACATCCTCAGAAAGTTTTTCAAATAATAATATTGAGAAAGATGATGTACCAATAGTCGATTTAATCAGCGAGGATCCTGCAGAATGGGTAATTAATGATTTGGCAATTGATCGCTTATTACTAAAAGAAATAAAACAAAATATTGACTATGATTTATCGCCAACAAAAGTAAAGTTTGGGAATAAAACGCGATACTTAAAAAACAGTGTATTTTATCGGAAACTTTTAAATGGAGAACAACAGCTTCGAAAATTTTTAATTTATTCTCGTAGTAAAAATGCATTGTTTTGTATTCCCTGTCGAATGTTTGGAGGTTCTACCAAACTTGCTACAGAAGGTTTAACGGACTGGAGAAATGTTATTAAGGTTGTAAAACAACATGAAGTCTCTAACGAACATACTAACTGTCAATTAGTATTTTTACGTAGGAGTAATAATATTGGGAGAATATATAGTGATCTCTGTGTTCAAATAACCAATGAAATAGATTATTGGAAAAATGTGTTGAAACGGGATATTGCTGTTATAAAAAAACTGGGAAGTCGCGGTCTTCCATTTAGAGGTTCCATGGAAAAATTTGGAAGCCAAAATAATGGTAATTTTATGATGTGTTTAGAATTAATATCTGAATTTGACCCTTTTCTAAGCAATCATATAGTTCAACATGGAAACCCGGGTAGTGGCCATACATCTTACCTTTCTTCTACGACATGTGTTGAAATAATTACATTAATGACAACACAAGTTACTAATGTAATTATAAAAGAAATTAAAAGTGCAAAATATGTTTCGATTGTGATAGACTCAACTCCTGATATCAGCCACACAGACCAGTTAGCATACGTTATTCGTTACGTTAGAGATGACGGTTTTCCTGTCGAACGCTTCATGTGTTTTTTACCAAATGTTGGGCATAAGTCTGAAGCACTTGAAATGGCTGTGATGTCTTTTTTAACTAAAAATGATATTGATACAAACAATTGTAGAGGCCAGTCGTACGAAAACGCCGCCAATATATCTGGAATTTACTCGGGTTTACAGGCAAGGATAGTAAAAAAAAACCCTTACGCGTATTACGTACCATGTGCTGCTCACTCGCTAAACTTGGTTGGGACTTGTAGAGCTGAATGCGTGAAAGAAGGTTTATCGTTTTTTAACACTATTCAACATCTTTATTCTTTTTTTTCTGCATCTACTAAACGATGGGATATTTTAAAGTCTAGCCTAACGCTCGGTAAAAAAGTTGTCAAAAAAGCAGACGGAACTCGGTGGTCTGCTTGGCATGAAGCTTGTGACAGCTTATATCAAAACTATGACGGTGTTATGAGAAGTTTAAGTTTATTAGAAGAAGATGATTTTGAAAAGGCGACGACGCGTTGTGAAACAGCTGGCTTAAGACGTCAACTTGACCGTTTTGAAACAGTTTTTATGACTGTATTTTGGAATGCTATTTTGGAGCGTTTTAATAGCACAAGTAAAGAGCTTCAAAAAGTAAACACAGATTTGGGAAAAGTAGTCGAACTCTATAAATCTTTAATTACCTTCATAACATCTATTCGAAATGATGAATGTTTTAATGAATATGTAATTTTGACAAAAAAAATAAAGAGTGAAGAGTACGAGTTTGATAAAGTAAGGACTAAAAAATGCAAACTTCAAGCAGGCGAGACAAGAGAAAATGAAGTCCATATGACTGGAATATTAAGAATAGGAACATATTTTTCCATACTGGATCGTGTGAAGAGTGAAATTGAAAAGAGATGCGCTGCTTATATTAATACATTTGGCAAATATGACTTTTTGACTAATTTAATACTACTTTCACATGAAGAAATAACTCAAAAAGCTAATAAGCTTCAAGAATTTTATAACGTTGATTTAGAAAAATCATTTGCTTGTGAATGTGTTCATTTTCGAGCATATCTTCAAAGTATAAATAAAAATATTGATGGAGTTAACGAGTTATCAATACTCCTACGCGGTAATAATTTATATACAGTTTTTCCTAATGTAGATATTGCTCTACGTATGCTTTTATGTATGGCAATAACTAACAGTTCAGCCGAGAGTTCTTTTTCTACGTTAAAACGCATAAAAAATTATTTGAGAGCACGTATGGAAGGAGATAAACTAAATTCACCGAGTTTATTGACAATTGAAACTGAACTAGTGAACAAAATTGACTTCGATGTCATAGTAGATGATTATGCGACTCAAAAGTCGCGCAGAAAGCCGATGAGTACTAGGCACTAACTATTTCATTTTGAATATAATTTAAAAATTAATTATTTAAGCATTTTTTACTACCATATTTTTTATCATTATGTTTTATATCATATTTTTTATAATTAAGTTTTTCATATGAACGTATGTAAACATTTTTATAACAGCTGTATATTTTTATTTTACATCAATAAAATTTTAAGTAATAAAGGAAACAACTATATTTGTATGCTTTAATAACATTTAGACTAGAAAAATATTTATATTAAAAGGCGGCAATTTGTTTAGGGCTTAAAGCGGCACAATGGTTAAATCCGGCACTGATATTTACAACTTTTGAATTCTTACTTATGACCTTGATGTATAATGAAATACGACAAGTAGATTATATGTAATCGAATGTCTATTATGCGAATAAATAAGAAAATTAGAAAAAAATATTGAAAATGTACAATTTTAATACTTTTGAAGTTTTGAGAGCAATACTTACTTAAACAATATCAACGATAGTTAAGCCGACTGCTTCAAGGTTTTTATGACGACTTTTCGAATAGAATCTGCTATGTCGACCAATACAGTGCAATGTAAATATGTTTTTTTAAATTGTTTATGCGAATTTATTAACATAAGCAACATAGTTTTATTTTGATGACAAACATATTTACGTTATTTATAGGAGTTAAAATTTTTGCTAACCTGTTATTTAATTTACCAAAACAAAAGCAATCGTAGAGGCGGTGAGGCATATTAAACATGGTGAGTATTAGGTATGAATCATTTTATTTTCAATACATATATTTTATAAACGTGTTATTTGATTTTATAGGTTTCTCGGATAAAAAAACAGTACTAAACATTTATATTATATAGGGTGATTCACTTATCGTGTACCACTCAACATCTTACTGGGTTTAATTATTAATTGCATTTTTTTTTCCAAAACGTTTTTATAATGTGATCTCAATTCTTCAAAAAATGTTTTGGTTTTACCCCCTCTCAAATTATATGACTTAAAGATTTCATATATATTACCAAAAAAAAAAAAAAATATAAATATATAGCAACCTATTTTGTAATCAATTAGTTATAATGTATTGATTAGTCATCCGTACCTACCTAAATATTAACTATTTTTGTAAGCGTTGCATAAGTATTTTAAGTTGTGTTGAAAATTTTGATTTTAAATTATAATAATAATAATCTTTATTTGCTAGTAGTAGAAATGTTACAAGGTAGATTAAATAGATAATGAAATTACTAGCTTTGCTCGACACTGAGGTAGAACCTTTTATCGTAGAGCAGAGATACGTATCAAGATGTTAAATAATTATGTAAAATAACAACAACAAAAATACAATTAAACTAGGGAATATGATTATAACAAACTGAAAAAAAGTAATCATAATAATAATAATAAAAAGCAATAAACTGTTTTGGAGTATAGAGGGTATACAATAAGAATAATAATAGTATAATAACCAATATATAGAAATTTTGAAATAAGACATTTTCACAAATTATCATAGAACCAATTTTTACTCTTTCACTGTAACTTTGATGGGTCAAAAGTAAAAAAAGTCAACTTCTTGAACCCCAGAACCGAAATAACCTACAAAAAGAATTGGCAGTTTTGCAACTTTCAACTTTATTTTTCTATAGCTTAATAAAAAACTGTCGAATTAAGTCAAAACTGTAATAGAATGTTTAGCAGGCACATCCATATACACCAATATCCTCAAATCAAAATTTCAATAATTCTACACTCCCCCACAGGATTTATTTTCTTAAAAATGGTATTTGATTTTTAAATTGATTTAAAATAAAAAAATATAATGAAACATGGATTCATATAATTTATATACCAAATATAAAATATAGTTTTATTCATTATTCTTAGACAAACATATTCAAAATTCATCTATCTCTGTTTGAAAGCATACCAACAACGTTTGAAGTCTTGTAGTATTAATTACTTATGGATTTGATGTATACTAACCAGTTATTGAATTCACAAAAACAAAATCTGTCGTAGAGGCGGTAGGGCATATTAGACACGGGGTTTATGAGGTACTAATCCTAATTTTCAATACATTTTTTATATAAACGTTTTATAAGCGTTAATTTTAAAGTGATTTTATCCTAGAGGACTAGTACTGTGGAGTATAGGCATAATGGAATCAAACCATAGATAGCACAGAGAGGTCACAAGTCAACAGATTGCTTTGATGCTTATTTGCAAATACAGCACCTCATTTTAATACTTTTAACTTTGCTGGTTTACAATGTACTTGGTTTGGACTTTACTGGCTTGAAAATACTAATTACTGATTCGCATCGAAGCGTTTATTCGAAAGTGATTTTATCCCTCCCAAATATAATAATTCCTGTAAACCTGTTACCTCCCCCCCCCACAATGCCGCTGCTAACACTTCTATAGTTATATCAAATAATGGACAAAATATAAATTTTAATTGATTTTAAAATACAACTGGGAGTTGTTATATTTTAGAATGGTGGCTTTGGTTTTTATGGACAACATTACTGTAATTAATGACTACAGCACAAAATATAATAATCCGATCCTACTAATTTAAAATCAATGTTTCAGGAAATTCATATATCCTAAATCAGTAAAGATTTTATTTGTATTTTTTTGTTTATTATTTCAAGATGTTGATGAAAAAGTAGTAGTATTATGTTCGTATTTATAATAAGTAATAAATGAAAATTTAATAACATATTTTTAATTATTGTACCATCAAGGTTCTAAAATACGAGAAAAATAATTGTATAAACATTTAGGTATATAAATAATAAAACCAAATATTTTTAATATTTTGTATTTTACTTTATTTGTATTGTACATTTTTAATTTCAATCATAACATCTTTTACAATTCCGCACAAAGTCTAGAGATACATTTATTAGAGCATTTGTTTATTTGGTTTGTTTTAAATTTCTTTAAGTTTGAACATAATAAGAATTGTCAAATTTTACAACAAATTTGTATTGTTTTATTTAGGTTTTTTTATTTAAACTAAGATATTGTCTTTTTCGATTGAGGCAGTGTTATTGTTATTGTATTTTTTTATCAAAAGCAAGCTGTTTTCCACAACGACTGTTGTAATTCAAACAATGGTTAGCTAAGTTCCTGTAGGTTTTACAAACTTCGAATATTATAAGAATCTTCGAGGTTTTACAAAAAAAATTTGTGTTGTTTTATTATTTATTTTTTTATCGAAAACGAGGTGTTTTTCTTAACATATTTTGTTTTGCAGTTGTTTTTGTATTTGAATGTTTGACCTATTTTATTTCTTACACAGTAGATCGACAACATCATAGTGTTTCTATAAACATCTATATATATTATTTTTAAAGATTTGAGTAATCGAATAGTTGTATTATAATATACATTTCGAATTAGATTGTAATTTCTACTTTTATCCTGATCCAATTTAAGGAAAATAACCTAAAGATAGAAAATAAAATTATAGAAATAGTAGGAAAAAAAATTGTAAATTATCATGTAGAAAAACAAATCGTTAACAATTTGTAAAACATAAAGTTGAAATAAACTTTATAACGCAAGTTGAATGCATATTCTATTAATAATTAAAGTTATAAGGGTTCTGCATGCATTTGTATGACTAAAAGGGTGAAATAACATTATTTACACTGTTATGTTATGTGATAGTACAGGGGTGATTAGCTTATCTTAAACCACTCAATATATTACTGGGTTTAATAAGAAATTATATTTTTTCTTTACATAATGTTTTTATGCATTGGGGTCTCAATTTTTCCTTACTTTTTTTTTTGTTTTAACCCCCTTCCAGCTCACGTTTTTCTGATAACAACTTATAAAATTTAACGCATATATTTCATAAACTTTTCAAATTGAGAATAATGTTTTCTAAAATTTTTCTGAAGTTCAATTTTTTGTGGATTTTTTTTAGGTGCATTTTGCCCGGGGATACATTCAGCGTTATAGCAACGTTGTTCGTTTATTTACAAAGCTGTTTTTTAGCATCGATACCGAGCTGGTATTCCTATGATGTGTGTTTTTTTTATCTACAAAATTATATGTGATTTTGTAACTTTGGTGGTTCAAAAGTAAAAAAAGTCAACTTCTTGAATCCCAGAACCGTAATAACCTACAAAACGAATTGGCGGTTTTGCAACTTTAAACTTTAACTTTCTATAACTTAATAAAAAACTGTCGAATTAAGTCAAAACTGTAATAGAATGTTTAGCAGGCACATCCCTATACACCAATATCCTCAAATCAAAATTTCAATAATTCTACACTCCCCCACAGGACTTATTTTCTTAAAAATGGTATTTGATTTTTAAATTGATTTAAAATAAAAAAAATATAATGAAACATGGATTCATATAATTAGTATACCAAATATAAAATATAGTTTTAAGAACGGAGAGGTCACAGGTTTACAGGAATTATTATAAATAAAAGTGATAAAATTGAATAAAATCACTTTCAAATAAACGCTTTGATGCTCATTTGTAAATACAGAAACTTAATTTAAAACTTTCTAACTTTTCTGGTTTATTCTGTACTGGCTTGAAAATACTAACTACCGATTTGCATCGAAACGTTTTTTCGAAAGTAATTTTATCACTTTCAGATTTAAAAATTCTTGTAAAACTATAACCTCCCCGTCCTCACAATTCCCCGACCCAACTATGCTCCGTCCCCACTATGCCCCTACCTCACTGTACTGTTTTTTTCATTTAAATTGTATAGGTACTTATTATAACTACCGAAAATAAAACTACCACATTTTTTAAGTCATCTTGAAATAATTAACAAAAAATCACAAAATAAAATCTGTACTGATTTAGGAAATATGTATTTTCTCAAACAGTGATTCAATGTTAGTAGGATCCGGTTATAATATTCTGTGCTGTAGTCACTAATCACAGTAATGTTGTCTATAAGAACCAGTTAAAATGAATTGTAGTTTATATGTTGTCTATTTTTGGATATAACTATGAATTTTGAATATGTTTGTCTATGAATAATGAATAAAACTATATTTTATATTTGGTATATTTGTGGTGAGTGCTGATTTGAGGTTATTGGTGTATAGGGATATGCCTGCTAAACATTTTATTACAGTTTTGACTCAATTCGATAGTTTTTCGCTATGTTATAGAAAGTTAAATATTGACCGACAATTTATTTTTAGGTTTTTGTGGTTCTGGGGGTAAAGAAGTTGGCTTTTTCCCTTTTTGAGTTACCAATCACATATAATTTTGGATACCTAAAGTAAATCGGGCCATAGTAAAACATGTAATCGTTTTTGTAGATACAAAAAAAACAAACATTATGGGAATACTAGCTCGGCGTCGATGCTAAAAAACAGCTTTGTAAATAAACGAACAACGTTGCTATAACGCTGAATGTATCCCCGGGCAAAATGCACCTAAAAAAAATCCACAAAAAATTGAACTTCAGAAAAATTTTAGTACATTATTCTCAATTTGAAAAGTTTATGAAATATATGCGTTAAATTTTATAAGTTGTTATCAGAAAAACGTGAGCTGGAAGGGGGTTAAAACAAAAAAAAAAGTAAGGAAAAATTGAGACCCCAATGCATAAAAACATTATGTAAAGAAAAAATATAATTTCTTATTAAACCCAGTAATATATTGAGTGGTTTAAGATAAGGTAATCACTTCTGTATTATCACATAACATAACAATATAAATAGTGTTATTTCACCCTTTTAGTCATACAAATGCATGCAGAACACTTATAACTTGTATTATTAATATAATATGCATTCAACTTGCGTTATAAAGTTTATTTCAACCTTATGTTAATACAAATTGTTACCGATTTTTTGTTCTACATGATAATTTACAATTTTTTTTCCTACTATTTCTATAATTTTATTTTCTATCTTTAGGTTATTTTCCTTAAATTGGATCAGGATAAAAGTAGAAATTACAATCTAATTCGAAATGTATATTATTATACAACTATTCGATTACTCAAATCTTTAAAAATAATATATATAGATGATTATAGAAACACTATGATGTTGTCGATCTACTGTGTAAGAAATAAAATAGGTCAAACATTCAAATACAAAAACTACTGCAAAACCATGCAAAGCCATAATCTCTAAAGTATCAAAACTTGACGAAATTCATTTTTTTTTATTAAATATAGTTTGTTCGTCACAATTTTGGAAATAATGTGTGACCTTTTGTGTTCAATCGAATGGTTCTAAGGGAACATCGGTACTTTTCTCAATACCATAAAAATAAATTCTAAATTAACGTTTATAATTTTTAGCTTGAGCCAATAATGTTACACATTATGTGTATTTTATTATTGTATCATACTTCCTATTTTATTGTACTTTGTATGCGTTATTTTCAAAATAAAACTTAAATACAAATATATTAACAATTTTATTTAATAACCAGGTTATGTAAAAATTATAGGTTCTATTAATGCCCCTGATATTCTAATCACCATATCTTTTTACGTTTCCTCCCACTCTACTTGTACTCATTAGGGCGTTACATTTTAAAGTATAAAAATAAATACGAATATATTAATAAATATTATTTTTTTAAACTAGTTTTTGATACTTATATTTATGCAGGTATTGAAATTTTAGCATTAATTAATTGGAACTGTAATGGATAAATATAACAAACTGGTTTAACTATATAATTTGTATTAAATCTTTTCGCGTTTCTTCCTACTTATTTAATACTAATATCCTATTCCAAGTTCTTGCTCTCCCTCCCTCCATTGGCCGCAACCATTATATCCATAGAAAAGTCTAAACAATCAAGAACTTAGTTTTAAAAAAAATTTCCAAACGTGAATATTGTTTTGTATCTATAAATTTAAATCATAATTACCCAGACAACAAAAAAATTCAAAACTCCTGAATATATTTAAATCGATTTTCACTATTCAAAGAGCTACCCATCAATTAAAGTATTTAAAGTTCAACTATTTATTTTAAAATAAATTTTTGGGCTTATGTTTAAGAAAGTATAAAAATATCATAGTTTGATGAATTGTGGAATTTAAGTCATTGTTAAATCATTGTCATTAAAAACAAAAAAATTTCATTAGATTTGTCCGCTAATATCAATTACATTTTGAGCATAATATCAATAATTTACTAAACGTTAGTTTAGATTTTATATTTATGTTATAGAGAAAAAACACGAACACTTACAAAGTATAATATTTGTACGATATTCAATTGATAGAATAACATAAACGCTACAATGTGAATCTGTGGATAGTAGGGTCAAACCAGTATAGTCCAAACATAGTAAGAAAGTATTATATGTGAGTGAGTATTACCTAGTAGTAGTATTTCATCAGATTGGTCCTCTTACACCAATACCTTATAGAGTACATTATTAAAAAAACGTTCATTTAGATTATATTTTTATGTTTCAGAGAAAAATAATGGATGTTCACAGATAAAAAAGACTTATGTCAATATACAAATAACAACAAAAACATTGTACCTAATGACCATTATGTGCTTAGAAATTATTTTTTGGACTAGGGTAGACACGATAAGGTTGATCGCCATAATATCAATAATAATTCGCAACAAATGTGTTTAAAATCGTGAACAAAAGCGTTTATTTTATCATTTATTTATTTTATTTTACATACGACAATCGGCTGATAATTATAATGATAATAATGGGAATACTAATGATAAAGAAACTACATAATAATAACAATTAATAAGCATATATCAAATAAACTAATTTAGTGCAATATGCAAACTTTAATTATTTATTTAAATATAATTTTTAAATAAATAAACGATTGATATCTAGTATTATTCGCTACTTAACTCAAGCGGAGTACTGATATCCTCGCGTAGTTGTACATTTAGTTTTTTTTTTGTAACGGCATTTACTTGCCAATATTCGCCTTCAAGTGATTTGTATTTTACAACACCCCCTTTTAGTGTTACCTTACATACATTATCATATGGAATTAAAAAATAAGACGTGTTTGAAGAAATTTTCAGACTAACCCACATTGCTATCAAAGTACAAATCCTATAAACAGGATACTCCTTGTCAACTTCATCAATCGAGGTGATTTCAGCTAAAAAATCAAAAAGCAGTTGTTAAAAATAACCAAATTTAACTTATAAGCCACTTTATTCCTTTCAGTGCAAGACACAATTACTAAACGTAAATAAAACAAGTTATACAAATATATTTACTATGTAAAATAGTAAAAATCTCAGCTTTCTGAAAAAAATTATAATTTTTTTTTGTTTACTATTTACACTCAATAAAAATGAGTTTATAATTTATAAATATGTTTTTTTTGTTGCCCAAAATTTAAGAATTTTCTTTAGAAAGCTAAAAAATTGTACATTAAATGTGTGAACAGAACACTTCTTGTCAGCTAAAAAAACAGAATACAGTTGTTAAAAATTGCCAAAATTAACAATTATTAGCCACTATTTTTCTTATTTGTGCAATTGATGTTAATTAATTTGACAAAATTATTAAACGTAAATGAAATAAGTAATACAATTATATTAAACATGTATAATTGTAAAAAATCTCAGTAATAAAAAAAAAAATTATGCTTTTTTTTTTGTATTAATAGTTATTTAAAATGAGTTTGTAATTTATAAAGGTAATTTTTTTGTGTTGTCCAAAATTTTTAAATTATTTAAATTTTTTTTTTTAGAAAGCTGAAAAGTTTTACATGTGAACATTTTAAACAGGGGTCACTATAAACACAATTAAAAAAAAAAGAGGTGAAATTAAAAATTGTATAATAAATATTAAGTATATTTGTAAAAATTATAAAGAAACAAAAAATTTGTGTTAAGTAGTCTATAAAATACTGTGTTATTTAAAATGAATCATGCTGTAAAATTAAATGTTATTAAAAAAATAAATAATATTAAATCTTTTTATTTATAATCACCTAATTTTTTGGTAAGCACATTTATAATAGCATCTCCAGTAAGACCTCTTCTCGCCTTTCCAAGTTTGGTCAATTTTAAAGTTTCAGTATCTACATAAGTGTATAAATAGCTGGTTTGAAAATATAATATTTATTAATATATTCGTATGTGTTCTGATTTTTTTAATTTAACACCCTAATAAGTACAAGCAGAGTGGGAAGGAACGCAAAAAATTATGGTAATTGTTAGTTTCGGTACCTACATAAATGTTTATATTAATAACTGGTTCAAAAAGATTAATATATTCGTAATTATATGTTTTATTTTTAATATTTAATGTCCTAATAAGTACAAACAGAGGGAAGGAACTTACAAAAATTTGAAAATTATAATATCAGGATGAAGCCTAAAATTGATGGAGCCTAGAAGGGGTGAACAAATAAAATAGAGATCAGATTTTAGTAAAAAGGCGCGTATGCTGAAAATGTATTATGTATTCGTTCAATTTTTATCTGATTTTAAGTTTAGTAAGGTTGCAAAAATTACTATTTCATTCTAGAACCCTTAAAACAAGTCTCCCCAACTTATAGTAAATTGTTATGTGAACAATATAATAATATATAAAGCAAATTTTATCTTTCAAATAAGTCATATGTTCTGATTAATACTAACTAGTAGCTTTGTAAATTCTATTGTATTCATCATTATACACAGTACTACCTCTAACATAATTTCCTGTAACAAATAAATTATATAGTTAGTCAAACCGTGATGTTGTATGTATCCATAGTAGTAACTCAAAAATGAGAATCATTTGACCAATTAATGAATGCAAAATATAATATTAACACAAAACCTATGACTTTTAAAGCCTTTTTAGCTACCGCGTTTATGTGATCTCTAAAATGTAGAGAAGGCGTACATAGGGTGTTAAGATCATTAATAGAAAAAACTCGATGGAGTTGAAGACCATGAAGAAAGAAATCGTGCAGCAGCGGAATACGGTTCCAGGAAAATGACAAAATATGACATTTTTCAACATACAGTGTCAGACCATGGAGATGAGCCAAATACAGAAAAAACCTAAGTTCAATATGTAGTAGGCAACCATCCACTGATAAGGTATAACTAAAAATGTTTATGTCGTAATAGAAGGATCAGAAACCGCTTCTTGAGCATAAGTGTATTGTTAAAAATTGATACACGCCGTTCAAAATAATACCCTAAATATAATAGTGGTAAAATGTTATTAAGGCTCCCCAACTAAAATTTAACTTTTTAGTTATTATTGTGTGAACAAAAGAATTTGATAAGCAAATTGTATCTTTCAAACAAGCAATATTATATATTTACTACCATCTTTGTAAATGCTTTTGTTTTCATCAGCATGCGCAGGAGTACCTGTAAAACAAATATTAAAACATTTTTTAGTTAACTAAACCCGGTCTGTTGTATTTATTCATCTCAGTTTCAATTAATCAATGCCAAATATAGTGTTGATTTTAGTCGATAAAGCCCCATCCCCCCTCCGCTCAAAGAATAAATTAAAATATATGTGTAATACTGTTACACAAAAAATTTAATTATCTCTAAAAAAAACCCTCAAATTATCAATATAGTACAAAATAAATTGATTATGTAAAAAGTAATACATTAAAATTGTATAATATATATTTACAACAAAGTTTTCTTGTAAGAATTTTTCTCGCATTATTAAATGTGGTACATTTCGAAATTCCATCACCTGCATAAATTTATAAATAAACTGGTTTATAATACAGTATTTAATAATATAATCGTATTTATGTTTTATTTTGATATTTAAATCACTAATACGCATTTTTTTCACAAATGTACAAAAATATCGCATACAAAGTACAATATAGAAGTGCAATAATCAGTCAAACAATAATATCTTAAACAATGAACAAAAAACTATACAGTATAGTTCAAATTATAGTATTAGCATTAAGCCGATGGCTCTTAAGGTCCTGATAGCTACCGCATTTATACACAAAGTATAGTGAAGGCCAAGATCTTTAATAGAAAATACTCGTTTCAGTGGAATACTACGAAGTACATAAACCACGTAGAAGAGAATTATAGCGCCTAAATTTTTCATAATAACCAAGGAGATGAGCTCAGTCAAGAAATAAAATAACTTCAGCTTGTAGGTTTCAATAATCCGTGGAAAAAGCAATACTAATGAAAATATATATCATGTCGTCTGCAAAAAAAAAAAACTTCTTGTTTTTGCAAAAGTCCCTCTAATGAGCTAACGAAATAAAGAGGACTAAGGTGGTCCCATTGATAGACGCTTGAGGAGATAGTAGAAGGTTCAGAAACTGCTCTGTTCACTTAAGTGCAATGTTTCCTATCGGAAAGGTAAGATGTGAGGGGTTTCCAATGTCAATTATTAGCGAAGAGTACAATGATAAATGAAGCGTCATTAGTGCAATGAGTGCTATGATTCAACCAGCTCTTGATAGTATATCAAACAACAAGAACTAGTATCGTATTTTGTCTGTCGAGTCATAAGTATTTGTTAACATAAAACGTCAACAATCTATTACGTTAAAAATGGTATTTTGTGGTAAAATGTTAAAAATTGATAAACGCTGTTCCAAAAATTACTCTAAATATAATAGTTGTTAAAATTATTATAACAGTAAGTCTCCCCAACTAAACTTTACTAAAATGTTTAGTAATTAACTTTGTAATTACTTTTGGTTGTATCAGCAGGCATAGGAATACCTGTAAAAATAATTTTAAAAATAATTTAGTTATTCGAACTCGGTTAGCTGTATTTATCCATAACAGTTTCAATTAATCAATTCTAAATATAGTATTGATATTAAATAAATATTGAATAACTTCATAATTACTTATGGGTTTATCAGCACGGATACCTGAAACAAGAATATAATACAGCTACGTAAACTAGGTTGTTATATTTATTTATAAAAGTCACTCAAATAATTAAACTACTTTGACTAATAAGTCAATGCAAAATGTTTTATTAACATAAAATCAATCTCTGGCAAGTAGTAACGTTTGAAAAAATACTTTCTTCACAATGAATTTAATAATAATCTAATTTTTTTATGTGTATTAATTCTGTCTTCTACAAAATTTCTTGTGACCTATTATTCCTTGATGAACCTAACTATATTCAGTACACTTTGAAATTGTTTAAACATGTGTTTGAAATACCTAACATATGTAATATTTTTGTAGCTTGTAGCTTACATTTTCAGGTGCTTATTGGTTCAGAAAGCTGTATATTAAAAAAACTGATAATTTTGTGTTCACCTGTTATCTTAAAAATTTCCCCGTTGTTACCTTTGTTATATTGTTATTAATGTACCAAGGGGCATTTGTAATCATTCGTATTGATATATTTTGGAGCACCTATATTGGTCTTATTGTTAAATGTCTAGCTGGTCCTCCCCCCATATTTGAATTCCATTTGCCCATATTAGTCGTATTATTGACTTAAATATAAGTAATTTAATCTTGAGTGGCAGGTTGAATTTATGATTCAAGTTTATTTGATTTTTTTCTTTTTTTTTTGAAGTGAGGTCCCCAGGTAAGACGTATGTCTAATATTAAATTAACATATTTTGTCTCATTTTGAGTAGTGATAACTGTATTGTTGAGTATTACTGCAGGATATGTTTTAGGACGGAGAGCAAAGGTAACGTGACTGGATTTATTTTTATTTTCCAATTCCTAAACCATGTCTCACAGATGTTAATGTGTTATTGTAAATAGTGAGCCACGTCATTTACACTATTTAAATGCCTTGCGAACATGCAAGTGTCTCGACACGTTGCCAACCAGTCAAGACATTCAAATAGGAGTAACCATAAGGCTTGTAAATAGTGTAAAAATGTATCTTTTAAACAAGCCGTAAGTTCTAACTATAACTGGGAGGGGTTTCCAATGTCAATTATTAGCGAAGAGTACAATGATAAATGAAGCGTCATTAGTGCTACGAGTGCTATGATTCAACCTGCTCTTGATAGTATATCAAACAACAAGAACTAGTATCGTATTTTGTCTGTCGAGTCATAAGTATTTGTTAACATAAAACGTCAACAATCTATTACGTTAAAAATGGTATTTTGTTGCAAAATGTTAAAAATTGATAAACGCTGTTCCAAAAATTACTCTAAATATAATAGTTGTTATAATTATTATAACAGTAAGTCTCCCCAACTAAACTTTACTAAATTGTTTGTAATTACCTTTTTAATTACTTTTGGTTGTATCAGCAAGCATAGGAATTTCTGTAACATACATTTTAAAAAAATACAGTTTTAAACTCTTTTATTACATTGATCCATAACAGTTACTAAAAAAGGAGATAACTTTGACCAAACAATAAATTATGTGCTTTTAAAATTTACATAATTGTCAATAATATGTAAAAAAAATAATGTGTAAAGAAAATTTGATCGTTCAATCAAATCATAAGTTCATTTTACTACTAATGAATAACTTTGTAAATACCTTGGTTTTCATCATCAGCCGCCGGAATACCTGTAAATTAAGAAAAAAAAAGTTATTTAGTTAATTAAACCCGGTTTGATGAATTTATCCACAACAGTCACTCTAAAAATAAAATTAATTAGACGAACTAATCGAAGCTAAACTTATTAATAATATAAAATAACTCTCTAACAACGTTTGAATGAATGCCTTCATCACTCTAAATTTTATAATAATCTATCTTTTTATGTTTATTATTTTGTCTTTTCTTTTTAGTTAGCTACCAAATTTAAGTGTTTTAAAAATTTACTTTATGGTCAATATTGTGTAAACAAAAAATGTAAAAAGAAAATTTAATCAATCAAACAAGTAATACGTCTTTTTTACTACTAACGAATATTTTTGTAAATATTATTGTTTTCATCATCTTGCGGTGTCTAACTATAACTGGGAGGGGTTTCCAATGTCAATTATTAGCGAAGAGTACAATGATAAATGAAGCGTCATTAGTGCTACGAGTGCTATGATTCAACCTGCTCTTGATAGTATATCAAACAACAAGAACTAGTATCGTATTTTGTCTGTCGAGTCATAAGTATTTGTTAACATAAAACGTCAACAATCTATTACGTTAAAAATGGTATTTTGTTGTAAAATGATAAAAATTGATAAACGCTGTTCCAAAAATTACTCTAAAAATAATAGTTGTTAAAATTATTATAACAGTAAGTCTCCCCAACTAAACTTTACTAAATTTTTTGTAATTAACTTTGTAATTACTTTTGGTAGTATCTGTAGGATTAGGAATACCTGTAAAAATAATTTTAAAAATAATTTAGTTATTTAAACTCGGTTTGCTGTATTTATCCATAACAGTTTCAATTAATTAATTCTAAATATAGTATTGATATTAAATAAATATTGAATAACTTCATAATTACTTATGGGTTTATCAGCACGGATACCTGAAACAAGAATATAATACAGCTACGTAAACCAGGTTGTTATATTTTTATAAAAGTCACTCAAATAATTGAACTACTTTGACTAATAAGCCAATGCAAAATGTTTTATTAACATAAAATTAATCTCTGGCAAGTAGTAACGTTTGAAAAAAACCAGTACAGTGGGGTCGGTGCATAGTGGGGACGGAACATAGTTGGGTCGGGGCATATTGGGGACGGGGAGGTCACAGGTTTACAGGAATTTTTAAATCTAAAAGTGATAAAATCACTTTCGAAA